CTATCGGCTAGGCGAGGCTTGGGAGTGCATTGACCGGGACCACTTGGTTGGTTGGCGAGAATTCTGCCACCGAACCACTGACGCACAGACTTTCTGACTAATTACACATGTGATATATTTTCACTAGCGTTTGTTTCATCAGCATAAAAGATGTAGGTAGTGTGGATAATGTGGTAATTTGGATTCAATAGAACTATCAGAAACATTAAATGCAATGTGATACACGCTACTTATTGACATGGATAGTTGAAGACCATTCATTATGGTCAGACTGACTGAGATAATCTAAAAGCGGCTGATAGTTATTTCATCATTCGGTTTGAAGCTGAGTTTGTTAACTATGTACACCCGGATGGACTTATCTCAGAGGACCAAATCAGTGCTAAGCACTTTATTATTTTTATATAATTGATGTCTTGCTCAGTAAGACATTTCTTGCTAACTACTTTGTTCGTTCTAATAACTAACTCTCAGACTCTCTGATAAGCTAATATGTAGGTTGAAAAGTATTATAGAGTCAATTAGGCAAAACAATCTAATTTATTAAACATCATGTAATGATTGCAAGGTCAAGTACCCATAGGTCACACTAGTCGATCCGTATCAATCAATCAAAATATTTGAACATAAAAACCAAGCTAAATATAAACTGACACAGCTAGCTCCCAGTAAAATACATTGTCTAGAAGGAGTTCAGTTGTCACAATGTATACACTGACTGACTCAAAATCACACTGTATATCGGGGGGGGGGTATAAAGAAAATTCAAAAATCCAATATACTTAGTTGGAGAGAGACAGAGGTTGGATTACTGAATCTTTGTTTATCGAATAAACATCAACTACACTACTACTACTACTACTCACTACTCTCAAGTCTGTGCGGAGGTCAACAGCACTCAGAATCAAAAATAAGATCCGGAATATTTTCAACTCCAGTGTGAAGTCAGTCAGTGCTACTCACTATATGGATCAGAGACTTGCACTGCGCGTCATAAACAGCATCTGAAACAAACTACAGACCTTCATCAACAGCTAGTTGTCTTCGCTCAATACCACTCAAGATCAGATGGCCGGCCAGAAAAGATCAGCAACAGAGAGGGATCTCTGGAAATGAGCGAACCAACTCAGCAGGAACCGATTGTGAAACAAATAGGCAGGTAGAAATGGAGATGGATTGGCTGGCCATACTCTGAGGAAACAAAACATGAAGTGATATCACTAGACAAGCCATTGTTCGACTGGAACTCGAAAGGGAAGTGGCGAGTTGGTCGTCAGTGCGAGGGTGAGGGTGACTTGGAGGAGATGATGTGAAGAGGAGATGAAAGCGTGTGGACAGACTTGGAGCCAGGTGAGCAGAGAACTGTAGCAGACTGTAGCAGAGAACCGAACGCAATGGAGACGCACGGCTGAAGCCCTATGTTCCTCTAGGAATTAAAGGAAACAATAATAATATACGTAGCCAGAGTATTTGAACACCCATTTGAGTTATTTACATATCTCTTCCGCCAATAAAAACGGAGGAACATTGAAAGCATTAAAAAAGTATAAAAATTGAATTGAAAACTTGTACAGTTGAACTATGTACCAATGACTGATTGCGACGAGTGGTTTTATACCACTCTTACATGAGCTAGTAGTGCTTGCCAGCCAGATCGAAGTGATCTAAGCACTGGACAGTGTCGTTTCGCTCTTTCGGGACAGAGCTCATCAATGGTGTGTGCCCGGTTTGACTCATGTGACCACAAGTGATAATTCAAGAAAGCAAGCCTCCTAATTGCGCAACACTATCTATACTATTAATTGATTGATATGGGCAATTTGACACCTATCACAACCCGTAGTGCTGACTAGTCAGCTTGTAGCTAACAGGGAATTGTAATTTACCTGTGTATTTACTTTCTGATAATAATGAGCGGTAAGTTGTGATCAAAACGCCACATATTACGCCAAACTAAAATAAAATTGGTATCTAAAGGCGTCGTTTTATCGCTACACAGTTAATGTTCGTTTGATGGCGAATAAATGCAAAAAAAATTCAGCCACCCTTGTTGCTTTCTATGCATTTCGGGATGAGCCACGTCTGTTGTACGTGTGTGAGAGCTAGGAATGCTTGGTTGCCCAAACTTCCGCGATAGGTGAAGCGTGATGTGAACGCATGATCCAGTGGATGGGACGGAAGTCAAGTGTCTAGACGAATGGGGTACATCTCCACGGTTGAATGTGACACACATTTTCACCCATTTAGAATTTATTTAGATGAATATACCTGCATCTTCGGTAAATATGATGCTGTCCTTATTGAGTCTCTCCCATCGACTGGACTACTAAACAATCCCCTTCCGTACACGTCTTATCATTATTATTGATCCCTTGTGTTACCAGTGGAAAATAGAGCTTCAGCTGTACATATCTGTTTGACTCTGTTCTTTGCCAACATTTCCAACTGTCTCTGTGACAGCCCACAAGCTTTCATTTCTTCTCCTTATATGATGTTCTCCATGTCACTCTCGGACGCTCAAACCATCGCTTCCCATTCGGGTTTCCCTCGAGGATCTATCTGGTGTGTGATTTCACTGGAAAGTCTCCTCACCGTTGCTGGAGTTCCTTGTCTCTTAACCCTTCTAGAAGGCCATATGATCGTCAGTATCGAGCGAAGGGAGCAACTGTTTTTAATGAAAGTCTTCACTTCAGTAGGCTGTTGAAATTGCTTTCGGTGACATGATCGATCAACCTGCCCTCTTTTTTGGGTTTATAACTGGCTAGTCAAGTTGGCTAAGTTTTCCCTAAAAATGAAATTCTCACATCGCAAATTTAAAGGTACTCAAGTAGCTAGACAGAAATAGGGTGGTTCCATATTAGTTATTTTGTTTATTAGGTATATCACACAGTGAAACAGTATTATTTACTGGATGACGCTTCGAACAAAATTTATTGTTCATAATCATATCAATTGTGATGACACGACTTTGACACTTGAGTTTTATAGTTTTCTTTGTTCTCTTCTACTTGTCGTATGGGTAGTAGAATTTTCCAGATATCGGGGATAGGTGATGAATCATTCCTATTACATGTATTTGAAGTTGATTCGATAATCAAAGCTTCTGTTATCAATCTCTCCCTATACCCTTTGACATTAGATTTTAAAACTGTCATCCTATCCCATCCTATTGTATGATTGTGTGTAACTGCATGTTGTGAGTGCTATAGCTGCACTATTCTCTAGATTTCTTATCTTATTCGGGTCAGCCAATCTAGATTTTTCTAAGTTTTTATGTTCAGCTAGTCTGACTGCCCCTGTTCTACTAGTTTGACCTATGTATTTGACCTGACAATCATTGCAGAGTATGAGATAAACTAAATTGTTTTGTTTTAAAGGCTCCACAGGATTGATCCTTTAACCGACAAAGCTTGTTTCTAATTGAGTTTGTGGGTTTGAATGCCACTTTTATTCCTGCCTTGTTAAGAATTCTGCGTAAGGCTTCCGAGGTTCCTTCCTTGTATGGAATTACTACTGATGATTTAGATTCTTTATTGTTGGTGTCGTCATTGATATTATTATTATCACTATTATCATTATTATTATCAGTATCGCTACTATCATTATTCATTTTATTTTTACATTTCCTTACATATTTCTTGATTAATTTATCCGGGTAATTATTAAGTTTCAAGGCTTCTTTTATGTGTATCAGTTCCTGTTTTAGACTTTCTTTGGTACTACTTAATTTTTGTGCTCTGTCATTAAAACATTTCACCAATCCTATATTCACTGACATAGATTGGGTGGGATGATCGGAAGTCCAAATATCTGTTTGAGTGTGTGGGTTTCCTGTAAACGCTAGTGTTTAACTTCCCATCTTCTTTCCTCTTCACGTTGCAATCTAACATTAGGAGCTCCCCTTCCTGATTTTCCAATTCATAAGTGAATTGAATTGCTTCAACCTTCGAGTTGATGTGTTCGAAAAACCTATCTATATCTTGTGTTCTAAGTACAGTGAATGTGTCATCTACGTACCTCCACCATACTTTTGGGGTGAGGGTGAACGTTTCAATCGCTATGCTTTCCCACTTATCCATGAATATATCTGCTACCACTGGGGATATTAGTGATCCCGTGGCAACTCCCTCAGTTTGTTTGTATATTTTCCCTTGGAATTTAAATACTGTGGAAGTCAGACATAGCTGTACTCCCAGCATTATGTCCTCAAGTGGCACTTTTGTCCTAAGTTCGAGTTCTTGGTCAGAAATGAGTTCGTTTCTGACTGCCTCCATAGCCATATTTATTGGTATACGTGTGTATAAACTGACAATGTCAAAACTAACCATTTTTTCTTCATTATCTAATTTTAAATTATCTAATCTGTGTTTGAGTTCATAAGAATTAGTTAGTCTAGATTTCGAGTGGATTTTTAGGGGATTTAATACTATGGCTAAATATTTAGATAATTCATAAGTAGGTGAATTTCTAAAATCAACTATAGGCCTAATAGGGTATCCTGACTTATGAACTTCAACAACACTATACATCCTACCTATACAAGTAGAAGAGAACAAAGAAAACTATAAAACTCAAGTGTCAAAGTCGTGTGATCACAATTGATATGACTATGAACAATAAATTTTGTTCGAAACGTCATCCAGTAAACAATACTGTTTCACTGTGTGATATACCTAATAAACAAACTAATATGGAATTACTTACTAGCGCAGTGCCCAAGTTTTTTACACATATATTAATAGAAATAGGGTGGTTTGAGGTGATTGGACTTACTGAGCTTAGCCAGACCGGGTACTACTACGCTATAATTAACTGGTCCTCAAACGGGTGGAACACAGCCATCTGGTGTCTAAATCACTTCAGTAATCTGGATAGCAAGTCCTACCGGTTGATGTGAGAGTGGTAGACGACTGCTACTCATCTCTCCATCAATCAATAGGTTTTCCCTACTTGTGTATTAACCTAAGTATTATTTTTATTTTTTTTTCTAATTTTTTTAGACTGTCAAGTACAGATGAACCACACGATGATCACTTACCGTCAATAAACGATAGTCGAAGACAATTAATTACACGACAAGGCCTGAAAAATAATGAGTCAAGATTACGCAGAAATAGTTATCGTAGCCTCCGATCTACAGGGAGGAGTGAATCATTCCTTAAAAAGAAATAATAAAAGAAGAAGAAATTCTCTCTCAGGTTTCTAACAATCATTGATTGGTTGATTCGTTCATTTGCTCACATTTGTTCACCACAATTCACTTTTGTTATATTGATAGTGGAACAACTTGATTTTCTCCTGTGCCGCTCTCTCTCTCCTGATTTACATTTTTGCCTTTAATAATAGTTTGTCATTTTGAATCGAGTTTTTTGTTTGTTTTAGTTTTTGTTATTGTGTGGATCTTTTGATTGATCGACATTCACCGTTCACTTCCTCTTCCTCTTCCTTGTAATCATCAAATCTGCAATATACAACAACTACAACAACAGATGGGATTCTTGTATACTGTGAAAGTCTTTCTTTTACTATGATTATTACTATCATTATTATTATTACTATTTGTTGTGATCGTTGGCGTTGGTTGTAATGATCGTCTTACGAATAGACGATTGGACGACAAGAGACTAAAGAATACTATCTCTCCCAGTACAGTACCTCGCCAAAAAAAAACCCAATTTATTTCTGTACTATTTTCTTTTTCTGTGTTCTTGTTGGTTAACCGAAGAAAGAAAAAAAATGTTTACGTCTTATTTTTCTCAAGTAAAGAAAGAAAAAGATAGAAAATCCCTCACCACTCTTTATACTTATGCGCAGTACACTAAATAAATCCTGGTGTTGGTTATAGTAGGGATTTGATTGGCCACTAGCTGATATCAGTTAGAGAACCACCATTGGAAAGCCAGGAAGAACTGTTCCGTCGTAGTCCGAGACTCTTCAGCGGTACGCATCCACCGGGGTTCAGACACAGGACCTTCCGGTCACAAGGCGAGCTCGTAGGCCATTCGGCTACTGGAAAGCGAACAGATAGCCCGTGAATTCACAGTAGAAACACACAAGCAATTTACAAGCACACAATCCTGATTTTTCTTATCAAGAAAAACACCCTCATACAAAATAGGTAGGAATGATGAATATGGGTTGTATAGCTTCGTCTATATATAGTGTGTTGTTTTTCAGTTGAATAGAGGCTTAATACTTGCTCGCGTCCTTATATATTATCCCAGTTGTTTCATCGGTGAATAATAATTCAGACGACTGTCAATGACTCGCTTTCCAGATGCTTCCATTCAATAAGCTTTATATGATTAACAGGTTAGATATTGTGTTGGATTGTGTATTTTCTTAGTTGAAATACAAATTCGATATTATTTACAAACACCAAGGGATTTGTTAGACAAAAAATTATCAAACAAGAATATAAGGAAAAGAAAAGTAGGATAATTGAGGCATAGTAACATGAAAACAAGTCAGTATACTAATCAAGAGCATTCATTGCTTCATGTTACTTTCAGAAAGGGAAGAGATGAGGAAATGGTCTCACATTCGGGCTAGGGTTGATAACTTACAACTGATTCGTATTGTCTTCTGGACCGAACCCAAGGTCGGTCGGTTTTCGACATAGAACTTTGCATATATGTGCGGCAGTTCAAGTCGCCACACTCCATGTAGCATACAAAGCAAGAGAAGAAATGCATAATATAGACAGTAAACAGAGGTGTGAGACAAAGGAATAGCAATAACAAGGAACAAAACAGTTTCATTGGAAATCATAAGTCACAAGGAGTGGATGCATCTGCACCAGCCACTGAGAACGATTTTGAGCTAGCCATGTCACCAATTGTTTCCAACCATTGGTTTTTACCGTCCCGAGGACCCCAACCAGTCAGGCAGTCTACACCTTCCTACGTGGCTGGCTTAGACTAACTGTTGTGGATTTCATTGACTGGTGCCATGTTTTCGTTTGACCACTGATAGCTCTTTTCCAGCCTGGCCCTATATCAGCTAACATTGCCCGTCGAGGAAGGCGATGACTAGGCATACGTAGCACATGTCCCAGCCATCTTAGTCGATGTAATTTCAGAGTCTCGTCGACTGATTTCCCCGCCTTACCTAGCACTCGACGCCGAACCCAAGGAGTAATGTGTAATACAACTACTCTTCATCCTACGGCGCTACTTCGTCGGCTGGTCATCCGTCTGCTTTTTCCAATAGTAGACACTAGGTAGAATAAGAACCTCTGGGATAACATTTGTAGCACATGTCCAAGACACTGAAATCAATGTTGCAGGATGACATTGTTTATTGAAAGACGATCTCCATCTTGTAGAAAGGCACGCCGTCAGACTTCAGAATTATCTCCATGATGATGCCACTGAATGCAAACAGTGTTGACCGGACACAGAGACGTCATACATAATCACCTCAGATTGGCCAGGTTTCTCAGGCGTAGAGCAAGACCACGAACCGAAGCACTGTAAACTCGACCTTTAACGACACTAAAGTTAGCTCAAAGTGACGTTTAACCTTTTGGCTCCGCATATATATTTGGAAATTTCATTCTGCAAACTTTCACTAGCATTCACACGGCTGCCTAGATACACGAACCTATTGACTACTGCCTAGTGGTTCAACTGGATAAATGTACAGCCTCCTACTAGTCTTGGATTCTGCTGTAACAGCTCTAAGGAAAGCAGCAACCTTGGAGGAGAGGAATGATTTCGCTATTCTTAAAAGCTTCGCTGTATGTAATCAAAGAAACTGTTCCCGATCCTTAGTTAAGCAGGTATTGCAAATTGAAACCATACTTGAGAAGCTATTTGAGTGTTTCTATCCCGTCTCCACCGTCTTTTTGGCATACGTTTATTAGCTTTTCCGCCATGTTTATTGGATTAAGAGAGTTCTTTGATGAATAACTGTCAGATTATTTGTAAATTCAAACGATTAATTGACCACAACAGAAAAAAGAGCCTTGTCTTACAAGAAATTAACTTATGCTTGAATTCTCCAAGAAAACGAATAGTTCTTTCTATTTACAAATTATAGTGATTCTTAGAAAAAAAGTGATCGTAATTGTGGAACCTTCTGTCAACTGACACCATGAAAAATTTGCAAATATGTTAAAACCTCATAATTTATTTGGGCTGCAAGCAGCTGATGAGAAGCCAACAAAATAAATGATGGTACGATATTGTTGTTTTTGCTTTATTCAATTTCATCAAGGGGAATAAATGCATGAAGTTTCTGAAAAATCGCTTCCCCGCAGAATCTTTCAAATCACTGAATCGCTTGGAGAATATCTAGAAAAGTGACTCGAATAAAATTTTACGATAAATGCTTACGTGCGTCGGTGGCATATCGGTTAGGACGCTCGCTGACCATGCACATGGTCCGGGGTTCGAATCCCGGCCGACGCACTCCTTTACCTCGCGAAGCCAGAAATAAAAGCTGGTAAAGAGGAAAGGTTGGGCATGTGGCTAGCGACCCAATCCTGTAAAAATGAACACTGCTACAGAAACTTCAAGCTTCTAGCTTGAAGCCCCATGTTCCACTGGGAACGTGAAGGAATAAAAAAAGTAAAATAAATGCTTACAGTCCCACTGCTTTCCTCGCCATCTCATCAAGTCACTACGTACTTGCAAATTACCGCCCTCTCTCTCAAAAACCGACGTATTACGAAATCACATAATGAATCAACAGAATCTCTGATTTCAAAACTGAGGCCCGATGCTTCGATGGTGTTGTCAGTAGTTTGAATATACTATGCCAGATCAGATTCATCAATTTCATTCAAGAGCTTCAACAGAAAACATGTGCAAATTTTTATAAAACTATTGAAATCCCTGACGAAGGAGAGACTATATGACGTCTTCCAAGAAAATCCTGAGGAATTTGTGTATAATCTGTCGAGTCTGAATTTAGGCCGCATTGAAATGGAAGCGCTTTCCCTTCATATCTCGAATAACTCTGTCAAAAGAACCGGTGTCGCAGCTCAATTCGAAAACTTATTCTATCAGCTGAATGATCTTACTCCAGTTGGTGAGGACAAGAAGATCTGGTTCAAATCTAAGCTGATAGACGTTGCAAATCAATACCTCATTTCACCAACGTCATATTCCGAAATTCTCTCTGAAAAGCATTGAAAGCTCTCAGAAATAATGACAAAATCGTCATACTACGACCTGACAAAGGCTCAGGAGTGGTGCTGAAGGACAAAGATTACTACATCGCAAAGATAAAAACTGTGTTAAATGACCCGTTGAGGTTTAAAGTCGATGACTGCCAGAAAGACAAGACAGATGCAGCTGAAAAACGCATCACAAACGTACTGAGAGATGTTCTAAAGAAGAAATTGATTGACTACAACACGTACAATGATTTGAATTTTCGAGGGTCCCGTTTGGCATATATGCATGGTCTTCCAAAGTCCCTCTGAGACCTATAATTTCGATGGTCAACTCTCCCTAACGTAAGGTTGCCTGGTGGCCTGCGGAGAAGTTGGAACCCATTCGCCGACGGCTAGCCGTGCACACCATAAAAGACTCATTTTATTTCGCCGGAAGCGTGAATCACATGAACGTTTCAAATAAGTTCATGGCGTCATTTGATACAACCTCCTTGTTAACAATCATCCCAATCAATGTAACCATTGAGATCATTTGTCACCAGTCTGATCTTCTCCCACTACCAGTCAGAATTCAAACGCCTATCTAATGTGTACCATGGGTGTACAATTCCAGTTTGACAACACTCTTTACGGACAAATAAATGGTGTAGCTATGGGCAGTCCACTTAGCCCTGTTTCAGCAGATATCTTCATGTCAAACCTTGAAAGAACAAAGTTGAAGCATGCAATTGACCAAACAACTTCCTATTGTCTATATATCGATGACACATTTGTAGTGTACAGCAAAGAAAGTCATGCGTCCTACCTACTCAGATTATTCAACGACGCACATTCAAATATTGAATTTACTATGGAACATGAAAATGATGGAAAGTTCCATTTCCTTGACATTGCCATGCAACGCCTAGAAGATGGTAGTCTCCAGAGGTCAGTTTACCGAAAGCTGACATACAATGGACAATACTTACATTTTAACAGTTTTTATCCAAATAGCTATAGACGAACACTAGTCAAGACTCTGTACTATGGAGCGAGGAGAATATGCTCTACATAGAAACTAGAGGAAGAATTTACGATTCTCGAAAAGGTGTTGAAAAACAGCGTTATCCTGAAAGATTCATTAACAAATATGGAAGATGTGAAGGCTCAAATATCAAACAAATCACAGTTGAAAAAAGCCTGTCTTCATTCAACTAGATTTTAAAGGTCAAAACATTGCAGCAATGATCAACAGAAGACTGAGTACGTCACTAGCTATAGCCTATCCTGCAGCTAAGTTGGCTCCTGTCCATCGAACAATACGCTCTTTGTTGCAGTCAGAAGTCGACAGATACCCTTCTCATGTTAACTCCAACTGTGTATACAAATTTACGTGTACCTGCGGGAGCAGTTACATTAGGGGAACAGAAAGAAAGGCACACCTCTGATTTTCTGCACACGTGTCGAAAAGCCTACGTCTCAAAGGAACAAACTCTTATAATAGCGCTATTACTAGACATTTCCTCGATACGGGTCATGAGGTGGAAATTGCGAAATCCTTTGAAATTATCAATTGACAAACGAGCTCAATTCTCCTCAAGTTTGCCGAAGCAATTTCTGTCAAACGGTTGAAACCAGATTTATATGTTCAGAAAGAAGCAGTTATTAGCCTTTCCTTGCCCTGGTAACTGGATGTCTTTATTCTCTCATTTGACTACGTAACCTTTGTCTTTAACCTCACCCCCATTTCCTAATTTGCATTTTCGCTTGTCTCTTGTTTCTATGATTTGAGTTGAACTCAGTACATTGTTACCTAATTTACTAGTCACTCTGCATCTTACGCATCCCTCGTCTTTATTACGTAACTCTTTTACCATTGTATGCATACATCTATTTTGTTTAAACTTGAACTGCTTATGTAAAAACTATATAAGCGTAATTTTCTGAGCACTGTTCACTAATTGTGGAACCTTCTGTCAACTGACACCATGAAAAATTTGCAAGTATGTTAAAACTTTTCTGTACATAAACCTCATAATTTATTTGGGCTGCAAGCAGCTGATGAGAAGCCAACAAAATAAATGATGGTACCATATTATTCTGTACAAACCACTGTTGCTTTTGCTTTATTCAAAAACTGATCGATTGGGTCGAAGTGTGTATGAAAAGTCACGTCACTACTGAGTATCAGACCATATGGCATATTCATGCTTGAACAGATTTTTTATGTATCAGACTTATCGTTTGAAAGCTGATGGTACTACCCAGTTGACCAGGCTAAAATAGGTGGAGCGTCACTCGAACCCTTGAGTCATCGACTGAAAACTTAATCCTTCAGCCGATGAGCTACATATCCATAATCAAATTGTGAAAGTAAACGTAAGCTATGCGGATGCTTTATTTGAAGGTTATTTTTTTCCTACGAAGTTAAGTTTACACTAAAGAAATTTCTTTTAATGGAATAAGGCAATGTTGACTTCGATATCCGATTACCTGCAAACCTAAAACTTGTGTTAAACTGACTGACTGGTTTCAACGTAGAACTTTGCACCGATATGCAGCAGTTCTAGTTACCAAACATCACTTAGCACACAAAGCAAGAGCAGAAAGTAAAAAGAAATGCAAAAGAGAGATATGAGGCAAAAGGAATAGTAATATCGAAGAAGAATATAATTTTATTGGATATTGTAAGTCACAAGGAATGAATGCATCTGCGTCATCGAGAACGATTTTGAGCCATATCACCAATTGTCTTCAGCTGTCATTGGTGTTTACTATCCCGACGACCCCAACCAGTCAGGAAGTCTGCACCTTCCCATATGGCTCGGTTTTCAAGAAATTCAGTGGTGGCTCTCGTGTCCGAGGCAGCCTGGTGGATGACCACTTGGAATTTGAAACGATAGGTGCTAGCTTCGAGTCTCAGCAGTAACATGATCACTCATTGGGAATGCACGTACATCAAACTGGTGAACTCCGAAAAGGACTAAATGCGCATCCTGGGTTCCACTGTTAGTCACCAATCACCAAATGACATGCTAATCCTCAGATATCATCAGAGCTTCCGTAGTAGGAGATGAAATGACAACAGACAATGAACATTTCAGTCCGATATAATCATGCATACGCCATCCCTGGTCAGTTAAGCAATCATCATCACACTACGATTCTGATCCCAAAATATATCTCGTATTCTGGACGATCAATTTGTTGTTTTTCGATTTGATTTCAATCTAAGCAGAACAAGTACTGTGGAAGTTATGGAATAGAAACTTGCGTTTATACACAGCGTCCCCCCCCCCTTGTAAACGCTGATATCCTCCTTCTCCTAAAGTGAGTTTGAAATTTTTCAGAAGCGTTGACGCACATTACCCGATTAGAAAAGTAAATCATCTTTTAGAAACGCTTGTGATTAGCACAATTATGCTTGAAAACAGAATAACTAAATATTAACTATTCAAGAGAAGTCTGTGATTGATTGCTGTAGATAAAACACACGGAGACGCAAAGCTTCACACAATGTACCATCGGTTGTAATTGTCACGAAGTGTAGAAGAACAATCGAAATGAAAAAAAACGTAACGAATAATACACATAGAGAATAATAGTAAAGCATTATAACCTGTGAATTATTTTCAGGCTGATAGGGGATGAATGCACCAGTATCACTGACGAATTTAGAGCTGTCATTTATATTTTCAATAACAAATTACACTTGAACCTAACTAAAGTGTATTATTCAATTCTTAAAAACACAAACGTGGTGCCCATTAGGCCGCTGCGATGACATTCGTAGCGCATGCCCAAACCAGTAAAGCCGGTGTTTTAAGATAACTATATTCAATAAGTGATGACCTCTACCATGTCAGAACACACGCTGCCGGACCATAGGACTATTTATACAATGATGTCATAGGATGCAAGAAACTCTATGGAGGTAGTAATGATCGAATACGCAGTCACCGCACACCCTCGCCTCGGAGAGACGGGGTTTCGCAAGAGTAGACCAAGACTGTGCATACTGAAGGTTTGTAAACCAGATCTTTGACAGTCAGGCTGACGTTGTGATGGCGCTAGGGATGACCCGAATCGGCGTATGCTACCCTAGTTGTCACTATGCATTTGGAGATTTCATTCGTCTCACCTTCGCCAGCACTCACACGACCATTTAGATGTACGAACTTCTTGATAACTTCAAGCTGTTCATCTGCAAGGGTGATTGCAGGTACATGCTCCTGCCAGTCTTGCAGCAATACACCGCACTTAGACGGTACAAAGGACATTTCATACTTATAGACACTGATCGGCAGCTGATTAGGTGCGATTCGGGCGATCTGTATGTTATCGTACAGTAAGACGATATCGCATGCATACTAGAAGTGGAAAAGTTTATCTCTAGGAAGCAGATTCACCCCACCACCACATAGAAAATGTGGTCAGTTGGTGGCATTCAAGACCTTGACCAGTGCACCTCCAAATAAATCAAGTGATGTACTCATCAGACTCAAGCTATGATATCTAGCGGACTGCATTATCAAAGTACAAGTTTGCAAAATTGTATATCAGTTCAAATCGCCAAACTTTGGGAAGGCACAAATCAAATTTAAGGGAGGAAATAAAACGAGATTACAACAGACGAGAATATATGAGATCTATAAACTCATGAGTACTAGTGAAGGGTTTCGGAATCTGGAATATAATCAACAGCCTTCCACTGATTTTCCTTATCCCGATGACCTTAATTAAGAAATCTACACGGCTCAGACCAACAGTGAGAAATACATCGTGAATTCGTGTCATGTTTTCGTTTCACCACTCACAACTCTTTTCCTGTATAGCACTCCTTCAGTTGACATTGCTCGTACAGGCAGGCGGTGGCTTGTCATACGCAACACGCGTCCTAACCATCTCAATCGGAGCATGACGTACTCGTCGCTGGACTTTGGTGTGTCACCTGACACTTCGCTAAATATCACTCGTACAGTCCAGATTTCACCGAAGAACAAGAGAAATCCAACGGTTGGACATGCGATCAGAAACCATTGATCCTTTCATAACTTTCACTTTCAACTACCACGTCTCACAGCCGTAAAATGGAACACAGAGACCAGTTGCACAGTACATACGTCCTTTGATCGATAGTCGGCTAAAGAGTCTACGCCAAAGATAACGGAAGTTAGCAGAAACCAAACAAGCCTTTTCATGAGTAGTAGGATTTCTTTAGCAAACAGTCCATTAGAGCTATTGCAACCTCTGAATAAGTAGTCAACACATCCAGCCATTTTACTCTCCAATCTTATTCTAGAATTCAACAGGGACCAGTCTCCCATAATTCTGCCTGTCACAGGGGGGATTGTATTTTCAGATGTTCTTAGAAGACCGCAATTTGTCACTCTTCACTTAGAGGGAATATGTAACCTGCTTACTAAAGAGATCACCTATATTCTCTTCATATTTCCTTATTTTAGCGGTATCTTGTAGCTCAGAAGTCTAAGTAAGCTAGCTGGTGTACATCATACCGTCCATTATTCCGACCTTCCTATCTTTAAACTAGTAGTTTGTATTGTGACATAGTCATAAATTTGACGGGGACGACGTGCATACCAACCTTATTGCAGTTTTTGATCAGGTTCACCGAAATTGACCATGATGTGCTCATACTGCAAATTAGCATGGTCTTTCTTAGTCGCAAGTCAAGTTTTGCGGTATCAAAGTCGAAACACTTAATTCTGCTAAAATATCTGTGGTTAAGCTTGATGAAAGGATGTCATTGGGAACACCTAGCTGGCATCATTACGTGTAACAACTCTTTGTAAGTTTCGGCATTACCCCATACATTCCAGAAGAGTACCGTGGCCACAATAGAGTAGTTTCCTGCACTGCCTCCAAAGCTGAATACTGCTACATAACTTACTGACTGAAATATAAGGATAAAACCTGGGCACTGTGGTAGAGTACAATGGATATTGATATTGATTATGGGTAATAAATTGTGCTCGAAACGTCATCAATCGGTCGGTCGGTTTTCGACATAGAACTTTGCACATATGTGCGCCAGTTCAAGTCGCCACACTCCCTTCATGTAGCACACAAAGCAAGAGAAATGCATAATATAGACAGTAGACAGAGGTGTGAGATAAAGGAATAGTGGTAACGAAGAACAAAAGTTTAATTGGAAATCATAAGTCATAAGGAGTGGATGCATCTGCGCCAGCCATTGAGAACGATTTTGAGCCATGTCACTAATTGTTTCCAACCATTGGTTTTTACCGTCCCAAGGACCCCAACCAGGAAATCTACATCTACCTACGTGGCTTAGACTAACTGTTGTGGATTTCATTGACTGGTGCCATGTTTCCGTTTGACCGCCGCCAGCTCTTTTCCAACCTGACCCTATATCAGCTAGCATTGCCCATTGTCGAGGAAGGCGATGACTAGGCATATGTAGCACATGTCCTAACCATCTCAGTCGATGTAATTCCATAGTCTCGTCGACTGATTTCCCCGCCTTACCTAGCACTCGACGGAGGCCTAACCTCAATATTGCTCATCAATAAATATTACTGTATAACACTGTGTAACTTTATCCAAATAAATCTTATCCATAGTGGAATTATTGACTGACAGTTAAATATTAATTCAAACGCCATCAAGTATGTATTCCCGAACTCGTTGGAGGACGATAACAAGTCTGAAAACTCTCTAAATTCTGAGGTTTGTAGTTACTGAGTTTCACCCCCAATCCTAGTCTAAATAAAATGTAATGAGACCTCAACTAGTACGGTGGTCCTCAATTTTCACTCGTAAAAATTTGACATACAACCATTAAAAAAGTATAAATTAAGTGTTTAAAAGTTGCAAGGCCACAAAAATAGTTTAGTCTGCCTTCCAAATCCTCTCAAGTCTCCTATCATACATATTTACACTCACGGACAATTATTGCAGGCTTTTTACAATCTGTAAGCAGTTACTGTTTAAAATAATTGAAATACCAGAATAAGTAGCAGTGGTAACTAAATCCCATACGTCACTTAGAGCATAGAAAACAGATATGGAGAAAGTAGTTTACTGTCCGAAAGTGAATACATAAAAATACAAGTGAAAGAGGGGTGAAAGGAAACATATTGCAGCTTATTCTGTTTTTTTGCTATTCTTCTGTGATTCTTGACACCATTTAACAGGATTCTTGTGGTAGCACGGCCATGGAGGTAATACAACAACAGCTGTTACCAAGCAGCCTATGAGAACAAGGAAGACACTGATTGACATTTGTTGTTTATAATATCCTACAGGAAATGCAATGACCTATAAAAATTATTTATTTATTTAGAATGAGGAAATAAGAAACAAACCAAAAATACAAACATGATTATATTCATTAATCTTTCGGCCATCTTTTGACCCTTGAAGTCCTGCAAGCGTATTAAGCAAGTTTAAATGTCTTTACCATATACATATTGTGTTTTTCTGCCCATACTCTTAAGTCTTGTAAAGAAACCATGACGTTAGCTGACGTTGCTTAATTTTTTAAATCTGTTCAAGAAACAGAGCGGCTGTCACATATTCAATGGGATTCCAATATCCAATATCGTTTTTACGAGCTAGTATAAACCAATTTGATTTCTTTGTGCTCGCCTCTTGATTGTGAGGTATAGGTTCCTGATCTTCGGTAAACTTCTGCGTAGCTTGTCCCGCCACTCGACTGTCGTAGCTTTGGTTGACTCCAAAAAGAGTAGTGCAGGGATTAATTATATGTGGTTTGTAATATGAGGTGTGTTAAGACTGTTACTACTGTGAATGGAGTTGATCCTTTCACCAGTTATTCCTCCGGTATCGTCGTTAAAAGAAAAGAGATAATAATAATAGATATAATTAGTGAAGTTATTCAGACTAACAGACAGAAAAAGAATAAGAAAACGTAACAACAGTCAGCTGATTAAATTTGAAGAATAATATAAATAATATATATAGCTAATAATGATAATAATAGGTGTAGTTAAAGTTGTCAGGAGAGTAAGACGGGAGAGAATGTAAAGAAGAAAAACGACAAGTTTAATTGTCTACCTCTGAATGGTGTATGCGATTTTAAGGGGATAGGCCATTTGGGTGCAGTCCTTGTGTTGCTGCATGGTTGTCCAGCCTTCGCTTAAAGGCGCCCACAGACGATGCCATAGCTAAATCTGCCGTTAAGGAATTCCAGAGACGGCAAACCCGCAGGGAAAAGAAGTGGGAGCGCACCCGGGTCCTTGCCCTTTGGTGAGCTATTCTTCTAGGATTTCCAAGAGGGAGCCTATACCTACTCAATGGCATAACACCTTTGTAATTAGTAATTAAATCCCCCCCTAAGACGACGGTAGCTAAGTGTGAATAGGCCTAATTTCTTCAGCCTTTCATCATATGGTTTATTTCGGAGACCAACCACTCCTTTTGTTGCCCGTCGTTGGACTCTTTCTCTTCATTCGATTTTTTTATTACAGCTTTATTTCACACCGTATTTTTGGTACAATTATGCAATTTTCAGCATGTGATATTGGTAGCCCGAGAGGTTGGCGTCTCTTCCAAGCAGTGGGGGTGCAATGATATTATGCACTTCAAGATGCGGTCTGACGTATGTTTTATACAACCTTAGAAAGCTCAGGAGTGAGTGCACCTAATTGTTTATGTGTAAAGTGTATGACCGCATATGCCCTCGCTACATCCCCCGTGTAATTTACGCTTGTGTCCATTTTCTCCGTTAGAACTAAACCTAAGTCACGTTCCGACGTTGAGCAGGACAAGCTTTCATTGCACAGGGTGTAACTTGCATTCTGCAGTCTACAGGTGCGTAACTTCACTATTCTGCACTTTTTCAGGTTGGAAGTCATGCCACTAGCCACCGCCCAGTCTTCCAGAAGGTTTAGGTCTTCCTTTAGCCTATCTAATTCCTCCGGGCACTTTATAGCCCTCCATATCCTCACGTCGTCAGAGTATAGAAGAGTCGGGCAGCTTAGACGGCATGGTAGATCATTGATAAAAATCAAAAACATCAGCGGTCCTAGGATAGAACCCTGCGACACCCCTGATGACGAGCTGTGACAAGATGATCGGACTCGATTGACCTTAGTGCGAAATTTCCTTTCAGCTAAGTAGTCCTTTAACCATGACAGGAGTGGCTTACCTATACCTGCCTGACTTATTTTGTGTAGGAAATGGTCATAGTGAACAGTGTCGAATATCTTCTCAAAGTCTAGGAAGACCACATGGACTGGAACATTCATATCCCAGCATGATGTCCAATCGTCTTAAGCTGATAGTAGGTTTGTTAAACAGGATCTGCCTTTCCTGAAACCGTGTTGGGCTTCATGGAGTATATTAGACCTATCGAGATATTCCCTGATGTGATCGTCATTAATACTATCCAGTACTTTTGACACCACTGGGAGTAGAGCTACTGGTCTATAGCAAGTGGCATTTTGCCTATCCCACCCTTGAAGATAGGAGAAAGGATTGCTCTTTTCCACTCCCTTGGCGGCTTCCCCGAATCCACTGAGTGTTGGAACAAGTCGCATAAGGGCGTACAGAGAGCTTCGGCGCACTGTTTCAGAACAGATGGCCTGATCTCGTCACAACCTGGGGACTTCCCAGGTGTGAGTCGCTGTAGCATCATTAGTACTATTGCGGGGGTTATTTGGGGAGTAGCCACTAGGTCTTCCTCCTGTGAAATAGCAGGGCCACCAATTTGGTCCGTAACGGTAATACCCACATTGTTGTTTAGCTGTTTGTCGAAGGCTAAACTGAATGTTTCAGCCATCTCCAGACTAGTGAGATAAATAAATAAATTTATTCTCATAGTACAGTACATGAGGGACGCCAGTTTACAGGCATCATCAAATTGTTACAGAAATAGAACCGTATAGTTCAATCACAATTTACAGGCGGTAGCAAGATATGCTTTACATGTTCGCTGGAGATTATACATACACTTGATAAATGTTAATCCCAGTAGTATAAAGCAGCCTTTTCACTTATATACAATCATTTCTGTGCACAGTTGGAAAAAAATATTGACCGTTTGGGCCTACTAAGGCGCATGCCCCCTGGTTGGTTGGTTTTCTTTCCGACATGAATCGGTACAAATTCTTGAGGTTTGCTAACAGATTTTAGCAAGGTTAGCCTGGAGTGACCTCCTGTCTTTCCTGACTCTTGCATTGCGCCGATTCCTGAGTTCCAGGTATGCATCGTGGTCAATCTGACTCTTAGATACGCGCTACGTAAACCACGCCTTCCGCTTTGCTTGCAGAATACATTGCGTGCCTCTCTTTAATCATGATGACTTTCTTTTGGGCTTTGTTGTGACTAAAGGGACGGTATCCGAGATTGCTGTATGAATAATCTTTTTTATTACCTCCCAGTGTTCATCCACAGACAGCTCATCCCATGCTAAGGGCCAGTCTGCGTTGGACAAGAGCCTCCACATATCAGCACAGTCAGCCTTGCTGTAACACAGGCATGGTAGTGTAACATCCCACTGCAAATGCTCACGGAGAATGAGATCGAAACCTATTACTGCATGGTCACTACTTCCTCGAGGAGTCATAATCTGGACCTATACGACGAGCAGTTGGTCAGTAGTTAGAATGTAGTCTGGTTTTGATGACTTTACACTAGGGCCCCACCTAGTATCGTCTCCAGCATTCTCAGTCAGTCCCATGTTTCGAATAGTTTGCAGTAGATTTCGGCAAAATGTTTCCTTAGCATACCCCGAGCCAAGGTTCAGTGATGGGGCATTGAAATCTCCAGCTATGGTGATTTGGTCATAGCCCAAGTCTCGTGTCCCTGTGATAGTGCTGAGCAGTAGCTGATTGTGCTCTGCCCCACAGGTGGGAGATCGGTAGATGCCACCTAGTAAATGCTTGGTGTGGCCTACGGTGAAATGACACCATATGGAGTCTGGGAGTTCTATAAGTGGTGGGTCCGTTGCGCGCACACATTTAAGTTGCCTGTCAAAGTATATACCCACTCCTTCCCCTTCCTTATTATCCCTGTCTCTCCTGACCAGAACTATATCACCCATACTGATTTCGTTATCGGCGATAGTGGGGGTTAGCCACATCTCAGTGAGAATGATCACTTTCAGTTGTAGGTGTGCTTGAAGATTTCGGAGTTCACCTATTTTTCCTCTCTGCCCCCTCACATTGCCAAATAGGCAGCTGACAGTGAGTCTAACAACCTCAGCGTGTTGTGGGGTAGTTGATGTGAAGCTGTCTGCTGGTAGGGGACTTAATGTTGGGACTAGTTGGCCGATTCCGATGGAACCGGTCCGTTGTGTTTTTTCCATGGATTTAGGCAGGACACTTGGGTGACACAGACTGTTATTCTCAGAACTGCATCGCTTCAGTGTCACTGAAGCTTGGGGACGTATTAAAGCCTCAGTTTGCTGCCTCATTATGGTTCGAGGTCTGCTTTCGCAGCATGGGATGTGTCATCCCATTTTTTCCTTGGTCTCATACCAGCGTTGAAGTGCTATTGCCAACTGCTCCGGGGAGTTGAATGTGACACTTAGTAGCTTTGGAGAGCTAATCAGTGTGAGATGAGCGGGGGAGGTAGTCAGGAAATGAAGATGGCTCCAGAAGCGCCAAGGGCCATCTGAGATGACAGCCATCTCCACTGCTGTACGTCATGCATGTGTTTTTCACAAGCAGTGCCCGTTTCCAGCTCCGGAACACCGTGTACCACCATAGAGGTAGAAGGCAAAAGTTCCGGTGACTCCCTCGCGATTTGTCTGATAGCCCATGGTCTGCCTTATCTCACCCTTATGTTCGAACTTCTGTCGATGGCCAGTACCTGAGCCATTAGTAGTACTCTTTCGGCCTTTTCGGCAGAGTCCATTGTAACTCTTAATGGGAGTGGCTTACCCTGAGGCATGTGGACACCCCCGTACAGTCTGCACAATTTCACTGAAATAATGTTCAGACCTAATTTATTGCAAAGGTTGGACCACTGTTCCCGATCAAATGGGGCCCATTGTTCAAGCAAGCTATCCTTGCTCACAGGTACGTTAAAGAGGATAAGAGAATTAGACCGATTGACCTCAGACTTAGGTTTGGCCTTTGGCTTCTTGTATTCCTTTGCAGCGTCTTCAACTTTCGGCTCCATCAGGTTCTGACCAGCCTTTGTTGTGTTGCCACGCTTGCTTGTGGATGCAAGTGGTGCTTTTCTAATTCTATCTTCCCTTGATGTTGTGGGTCCAACCTTTTGAATCTTCACCATGTGAAAATTGGCATTTCTAGTCAATAGGACTGTAGTGTCCTTCTTACTGTCTGTGCCAAGTTTTGGCAGTGCGATGTTAGCAGGTGGGGAGCTGCATAAGACTGTGTTGGGACACAAGAGCGGCGTGTTGTTTCTGCTAGCTGCAGACACGCTATGCGGGACTATGCCAGGGCAACAAAGTGGACAGATGTACCAAAACCACGGGGATGGGTTATTTCTCATAAACTCTTAGTATGCTTTCGGCACCTCTTTGTCACAACGGCAGTGCACCCATCGTTTGCAAAAATTGCATTCAAACGCTGAGTCAGCTTTAGAAACTATGATACTGC